AGGTGAAAGTGGAGGTAAGACAACCTTTCCCGAATGGCAGCACAAAAAATGTGTTTCATTTAAAAATTTTTTAGCACCACAATACTGACAATTATGGTTCATTTCTCCTAGGTAATTACTCTCTATAAAAACATTATTTCTTGCTATGCAATGCATTTCACGCCTAAATAATACTCGTCGAGCCTCATTTCTTTCATTTTGGCGACGATTAACTTCTTCACGTCTAGCCTCATTCCTTTCATTTTGGCGACGATTAATTTCTTCTCGCCTAGCCTCATTTCTTTCATTTTGGCGACGATTAATTTCTTCTCGTCTGGCCTCATTTCTTTCATTTCGACGATTTCTTCTATTTTCAGCTCTTAGGTTACTTGACATAATTGAGAAATTATTTATGTTTGATAAAACTTTATCTTAATAATTTTTTGCTATACTAATCTAAAATGAACAAAAACAATAAAGTGCTATTTATCAGTTTAAACCTATGAAACTATGTGTATAGCATCTAATAAAATTTGTGAACAAAAGATATAACTAAACTGGTTTGAAACAGAGAAAAAGCCAGAAGTATCTTGTAATAACATACTATATTGTAAGTAATAAAACAGTATTTTTTGAAACAAATAAAAAATTTTATTATTTTAAAAGTCATATTAATGGTAATATTGAAAAGCAAAATTAGTTACATATTTTTAAATGACATGCCAACAATTGCAAACATGTTGCATCATATAGACCACATGTGGCTGACAACTGATTTTAAATACTATTTTATAATATATCTAAAGAGAATAATGTAAAGAGATTAATATGTGTATAGTGCATATATTAGACATATTAAACAGATATCATAGAAAAAGAAAAACTTTAAATATATTTACCCAATCTTTCAAAAACTATATAACACTTAACAAATAAAAGTTAATACAAAAGAAAATTTAGTATTATTAAAATTAAAAATGAGGATAAAAAGATGTAAAAACGTAAATTAATAAAAAAACTTATAGACAAATTATTAAAAACTTTTATAACATAAGAGTTCTTTGTTAGTTTAGGATTTAAAAACAGAATTAAAAATCAAAAAAATAAAATAGTAAAAGTATATAAATTAAAATAATAAAAAATTGCGAAATTAAAAAAACATTTTTTTAAAAATTCAATTTTCTTTATAAATAAAAAAGAAGATAATTCTACCAGTAGTTTAAAAAAGCTACTGGTAGAAATTAAAAGAGTTAAATCGCTTTCCAGCACCCCTCCTTCTACCAGTGGTGTCATATGGGGCTTCTCTCCTCCATCTAAAGGAGGGATCATCTCCCCCATATTGACTCCACCGGTAAAAAGCTCTTGAAGATATTGGACCTGGGTGCTGGGAGCGATATTGCAGGAAATCTTGATATGATGCTAAAAAACAAAAACAAAAAAAGAAATAAATTTGAATACAATACTGCACAAAACAACCAATAAAAATATTATCTAAAACTATTTAGACTTCAAAAAAAAAAAAGTTATGACAAAAAAAATAAATAAATAAAGTAATGTAAAAATATAGATATGCAATGTTTAAATTTCATATATACCTACACAAATACACATAACACCCACAAAACTGCATAAGTATGCAAAACAGATTACCTGATGGTCCTGCAGATATTGTTGCTATTATGGAAATAAATAAAAAAGTATATGAACTAACACATATATTAAACAGTTATGTAATTGCATACAAACATGAAAAAAGTAATGTTTAGGTTTCAATACACATAACACTGCAAAAATACGGAAAAACTGCATAAGTATGGAAAACACATTACCTGGTGGTACTGCAGTTGATACTGTTGCTATTGCAGAAATAAATAAAAAAGTATATAAACAAACACATATATTAAACAGTTATGTAATTGCATACAAACATGAAAAAAGTAATGTTTAGGTTTCAATACACATAACACTGCATAAATACGGAAAAACTGCATAAGTATGGAAAACACATTACCTGGTGGTACTGCAGTTGATACTGTTGCTATTGCAGAAATAAATAAAAAAGTATATAAACAAACACATATATTAAACAGTTATGTAATTGCATACAAACACGAAAAAAGTAATGTTTAAGTTTCAATACACATAACACTGCATAAATACAGAAAAACTGCATAAGTATGGAAAACACATTACCTGGTGGTACTGCAGTTGATACTGTTGCTATTGCAGAAATAAATAAAAAAGTATATAAACAAACACATATATTAAACAGTTATGTAATTGCATACAAACACGAAAAAAGTAATGTTTAAGTTCCAATACACATAACACTCATAAAACTGCATAAGCATGCAAAACACATTTAAAAAAAATTAAGTTTCAATACACATAAAACTCATAAAACTGCATAAGTATGCTAAACAGATTACCTGATATTATTGCTTGAGGTGTTAATGTATAGACAAAAAAATAAAGAAATAAAGTGATGTGCAAAATAAGATATGCAATCTTTAAGTTTTTCATTAAATTACATCATTACCTGATGGTACTGCAGATGATATTGATGCTACTGTGAAAGTAAAAAAAAAAAAAAGTGTATAAAGTAACATATGTTAAACATTTATGTAATTGCATGAAAACAGTAATGTCTAAGTTTCAATACACATAAAACCCATAAAACTGCATAAGTATGCTAAACAGATTACCTGATATTATTGCTTGAGGTGCTAATGTAGAGACAAAAAAATAAATAAAGTAATCTGTAAATTAACATATGCTATCTTTAAGTTTTAATACACATAACACTCATAAAACTGCATAAGTATGCAAAACACATTACCTGATGGCACTGCAGATGATATTGATGCTATTGTGAAGGTAAAAAAAAAAAGTGTGTTAAGTAACATATTTTAAACATTTATGTAATTGATAACAAATATGAAAAAAGTAATGTTTAAGTTTCAATACACATAAAACCCATAAAACTGCATAAGTATGCAAAACACATTACTTGATGGTACAGCAGGTGATATTGATGCTATTGTGAAAGTAAAAAAAAAAAAAGTGTATAAAGTAACATATGTTAAACATTTATGTAATTGATAACAAACATGAAAAAAGTAATGTTTAATTTCAATACACATAAAACCCATAAAACTGCATAAGTATGCAAAACACATTACCTGATGGCACTGCAGATGATATTGATGCTATTGTGAAAGTAAAAAAAAAAAAAAAAGTGTATAAAGTATCATATGTTAAACATTTATGAAACTGCATGAAAACATGAAAAAAAAAAATTAAGTTTCAATACACATAAAACTCATAAAACTGCATAAGTATGCTAAACAGATTACCTGATATTATTGCTTGAGGTGTTAATGTATAGACAAAAAAATAAAGAAATAAAGTGATGTGCAAAATAAGATATGCAATCTTTAAGTTTTTCATTAAATTACATCATTACCTGATGGTACTGCAGATGATATTGATGCTACTGTGAAAGTAAAAAAAAAAAGTGTATAAAGTAACATATGTTAAACATTTATGTAATTGATAACAAACATGAAAAAAGTAATGTTTAATTTCAATACACATAACACTCATAAAACTGCATAAGTATGCAAAACACATTACCTGATATTATTGCTTGAGGTGCTAATGTAGAGAAAAAATAAATAAATAAAGTAATCTGTAAATTAACATATGCTATCTTTAAGTTTTAATACACATAACACTCATAAAACTGCATAAGTATGCAAAACACATTACCTGATGGTACTGCAGATGATATTGATGCTATTGTGAATATTAAAAAAAAAAAAGTGTATAAAGTAACATATGTTATACATTTATGTAATTGTTTACAAACATGAAAAAAGTAATGTTAAAGTTCCAATACACATAACACTCATAAAACTGAATAAGTATGCAAAACACATTACCTGATGGTACTGCATATGATGACATTGGTGCTATTGTAAAGGTAAAAAAAAAAGTGTATAAAGTAACATATGTTAAACATTTATGTAATTGCATGAAAACAGTAATGATTAAGTTTAAATACACATAAAACCCATAAAACTGCATAAGTATGCTAAGCAGATTACCTGATATTATTGCTTGAGGTGCTAATGTAGAGACAAAAAAATAAATAAATAAAGTAATCTGTAAATTAAGATATGCTATCTTTAAGTTTTAACACACATACCACTCTTAAAACTGCATAAGAATGCAAAACACATTACCTGATGGTACTGCAGATGACGCTATAGTGGAGGTAAAAAATATATTTACATAAACTAATCAATTAAACAGTTTATTTTAGAGTGATAAAACCGCACACAAACATCAAAAAATTGTGTGTTAAAAATAAACAAAAAGAAACATAAGTCTACTTTGCTTACCAATTGAATTTTCTAAATTTTCTAAATAGAATAAAAAAAAAACTCATTAACATTAGGAAAGAAACAAACAATGTTAGTTTCTTTCCTAATGTTAATGAGTTTTTGACAAATATAAATAATAAAGTTGACAAATATTCTGCATGTTAAACATGCAGAATATTTGTCAACTTTAGGAAATCTATAAATAAAGTTGGAACAAAACAAAAGGCAAAAATAACAATCACAAAACAAAACAAACCAAAAAAGAAAAAAGCGACAAAAAAAAATAAAAAATAAACTAAAGAAACAATCCACAAGAACAATATAGTAACTTACTAAGTTGTTGAAATATAAGCCCTATAAAAAAAAATGCTAAAATTTGTATCAAAAAAGCTAAAAGACCATAGAATACACCTTTTTTTTTGAAAGTAAAATGCTATATCTTTATCTATAATACACAAATGTAATATAATCAAATTCTGTTTACCCATTGAATGTTCTAATTTTTCTAAATAAAATGAAAAACTTATAAACATTAAAATAAACTAACTTGCCAAATATAGAATAACTTTATGTTAAATAAATATGTAATAAAAAAAATAAAGAGCATGACAACAACAATAACAAATTGCTTACTTAGGTTCTCAACAGAATCTTCTAATTTTTCTAAATAAAATAAATTTAAAAGTTACAAAAGTCACTTGTTGACTGACTAACTGTCACAACTGACAAAAGTCAGTTGCTAAATAACTTTAAAAAAACTAAAAAAGCATAAATGTATTTGCACACAAAAAAAACAAAAAACAACAACAAAACTCCTCACTTAGCTTGTCCATTATTTCCGCTAAACATTAAAAAAAAGTTATAATTAACAAATTGCTGAAATTGGTGAAATATATATCTTTGTAACGTATTCTTCTCATACAAAATTAGCTTACTTGGCAAGACCTCTTCGGCTCTGATCTCTTGAACATCTAATATATATATAGACAAAATTAATTTTCAAAATATTTACTTTTTCAATTAAACATATAAGATTTGTCTTAAATTATAAAACTGTTGCACAGTTTTATAATTTAACACATTCAGTAAATGACAAAAAGTTTCATTTTACGTAAAAGTTTAGTAGTTAGAAGACTTAAAAGTCAATTTTAGCTTAAACACGTTTTATAAAATTATAGCTTAAAAAACCTTATACGCGTTTTTAAGGTTCACTGCTTTACAAAAACATCAATCAAAATGGCGGAATAAACAAATTTTGGGTCCACCCTTTTAAAGTTCTAAAATTTAATTTATATATTTTTTAATTTTAGTTAAATTTTAGGGGGGTGTACTTGATTCACGGGGTTAGGGGAGGGCGGCATATCTTGGTTGATTTTAATTAAAAACGGCTAAATTAAATCATCGTTTTATTCACACCGTAAATCAAGTACAGTTCCGCCACTTTTAGAACATATGTAACTGCTACTATATATAGTATATATAAATGGCTTACTTCGAAAAAATGCAGAAACTTCTTCGTCGCCTAAAGATATACAAAATTATCTCAATGTAATTTCTTAATAAAATAATAAGCTAAATATCTCAGTATTATTGACGTATCATCTCTTTTTATCTCTTTAATTAATTAATGTTATACAAAACTAAAAGAATACCTTCTGTATCTTGGCTGCTCATTTCTAAAAAATAATCTTAATGTTTATTCTTGGGTCAAAAACATATTAACTTCAAACATATTAACATGGTAATTATAAAATAAGTTTAACTTTTTAAATGAAGATTACAATAATTAAACTTGTAGTTACAACTTACTTGTCGTCCCTCGCTTTGCAATTGTTATAATCGATATGAAGACCACATGGCCGAGTTTTATTGGTTTTAGAGTACAGTTGGCGCACATATCATAATACAAAAATCAGATGGTTTTGAATCTATTAATTAAGCTGTTTTTATTAACGGATTTGGTGGATTTAATTAGATAACCGCAAAGTAGTTTTACAGTGGTTTAAGAGTTGGCGTACGTTTCGTAATACAAAAATCATTTAATATTTGTTTATATCTTAATATTCGAGCATTTCTATTAGCGGATTAGGCGCAATTTTGAAGGTTTTCTGTTTGTCACCTTCTGGAGTAACTAAATTTTTTTTTTAGGTTTCAGATTACAATTTCTTTTTTCATATCTTTCCGTACTTTTTAGGACTCTTGACCAGTTAGTTTTAATAAAAATTTCAGATTGCATGTAAAACCTTTTTTTTATATATATAAGAAAGAAATTTATCTCTTTAATGAGTGTTGAACTCGCAGTTTTAACAAATTACCTAAAACATAAGTATCTCTATCATGATATATGCGCAACAAATTTCCAACAGCGTTTTTATGTTTTTAAAAATTTTTAAAAACGTTTTAAAAAATTCTATCCGTTTGGTTTGTTATAGTATATTATATCTTTATTTTCATGTAATGCGTATAACATCTATATGCATTTAAACTTGTTTTTCTTTGTTTTCTAGAAAACTGGATAGGATTTTAAAAAAAAATTGTGTAAGCAAAAGGTTTTGAACCGAAGCGAAGCACTTCAATCGCTGTGGAATGTTATATCATCTTTTAACACTATTTAATAAACAGAAAACTTATTAAACTTTAAAAAACAACATTTAATGCTTTAAAATAAAGAGATAATGTCGCAATGAAATTATTAAGTAAAAATAAATCGGTAGAATTTGATGTGATCTACTTTATAATTATACTGATTGTTGAAGAACTTAAAGTTTACATATTTAGATATTTGAATAGGCTTTCGTTCACATTAATAAAATAGAAATCATTACGGATTGTGGTTCCGAAAAAAAAGGTTAATACACTACCATCTATAATTATTGGAAGGGTCATATTTTTTAATATCAAAGATATCAGAGTTTGGCGAAAAGGTGAGAACAATGTCTACCTGAATTATATGCTATTTTCCTATTTATTCGGTTTACAAATAAAACTTCCCTGATTAGTTTAAAACCCTGATTAGCTTTTAATTTATTTGCCTATTAATCAGCCTTAGCAACAATAACCGCCAGAAATATATTCTTAGCATTCTACTTAACGACTTATCTAATTAGTCTATTTTGTCACTAAGTTTTTTCAAAAAAAAAAATACACATGTATTAAATGTATATCAATTTATTTATCTATTTAATTTAATCTTTATATAATATATAATTTAATATATATAATTTAATTTAATTAATATAATTGAAATACTACTAATCAATTTACTGATATTTTTTCTATAGCATTGTTAAAAATGGTCATATTCTGAAAGGTAAAGAAATTTATTGAAAAGAAAGTTGCACAAAAGAAAAAAAAAAACTAAATAAAAGTTATTCGTTTCAAAAAACGTTTTACGAAGAGTTTTTCCAAACAATTTTATTTTTAATTGGGTTTTTTTTGAATTACGTCATAAGCATATTAAGGCGTTTTGAAAAACAGTTGCTGCATATATTTATAGTAAAAAAGTTAATGTAGCGAAATAAACTTTTAATTGTCAAAAGAAAGTTTTAAAGTTTTATCTAGCTACAGGTTTTTTTTTTTTTTTGCCTCCACAGCAGCATCTTATGAAGTAGCAGGGCTGTCTTGTTAAGTTTTTTTTTTATTAGGTTTCAGACAACTTTTTTTTCAGACCATCCGCAGCTTATTAGGACTAAATACATTCGCACATTAATAACATAAGTGTCTCAATTATCATAGATACGCAACATATTTTTTCTCCTGGTGATGTTTTTTTTTTTTTTTAATGTTTTATGAAGTTTTAGCATTCTTAAAATCTTTTCTTTTGTGAGTGCATAATATCGTTACGTTACATATGTTTGTATATAATCTTTATAAAACTTCGAAAGTATTTTGTATTTTAAAATAATTAAAAAAATTAAAAAAAACAGCCGCCTTTGGTAGGAGTCGAACCTCTAGTTGCTTGTTCAGAAGTTCGCCGCCCTATCCATTCAAGCTACGCCGGCATATCGTCAAGTGTAGATTTTATAAAAATGTAGTAATTTTTTTGAGGAAAAATATGTTAGATCAAAATTAAGGAGAGGTTGACGTAATGTAATTTTCAAGTAAAAATCAAACTGTAAAACGTGATAAATGTTTCAGTATGTTTTAACATATGCTTTAACATTACTTAGTTTAAAGTTTACGTACGTTAGATATTCGTTCACGTATTCTTATAGTGCTGCGACTCTTTCTTGCTAATACCTCGGTTGCAATGGCTGCCAAGGGTTTCGTGTCAAATACGCTCCAAGGGACACTACTATTAAGTTTGGCAATATTATATAGAAGATATA